GAATTGTGACCTTAAAATTTTTGAATTGTGACCAAATTGTATAGATCTGTGACCGTTATATATTTATTAATAAAATATATAATTAATTAAGTAATTCATAAATAAATTTAAATAAAAACCTGATTTTTGAAATTTAAAACATCAAACCTTAATTTTGAAATAGTGATACTTAAATACCTTATTTATGTATTGTTCCCTTCTGTTAGTACGTAAAGCCCAATTGTCGAAATCAGTGTGCTCTTCTTTTTGGGCCGTCCAGCTTCAATGGACAACTTCTATCCTACCTTTGTGCTTTTTCACCTTATTGCAGGTTTGAAATACTTTATGAAAGGGAAAATTTCATAAGTAAGAGCTTAGTTTCACACATCAAATTTAAGAGATAAAATTTAAAATTTCAGATTTTTTAAAATTTAAAATCTCAAATTTTTTAAAATTTTATTTATAAATAAATAAATTAAATATATATTTTATTGATTAAATATATTAAGGTCACAATTCTATATAATTTGGTCACAAATTTTATATAATTGGTTACAAATCACAAATTTTACATGTGACAAATTATTTTACGGTCACAATTTATTTATCAGTCACAACTCACAAATAAAAAATTGAAACGTCACAAATCATTTTACAGTCACAATTCAAAAATGTTATATGTCACAATTTATTCATCGATCACAAATCAGAAATTTTATAAGTTACAAATTATTTTACGGTCACAAATATGTGTTACAAATTATTTTACGATCATAATTCAAAAATTTTATAGGTCACATTTTGTTCATCAGTCACAAATAAAAATATTATTTGTTTATTGGTCACAGATTGACCAGTTTAATGGTCACAATCAATCAGATAATTTGTGACAACCACTGCATTACTCCCTTCAGCAGTACCACCGCCACATTCGCCGCCAAAACCACCACCACCACAACCGCCTTCCGACAACAACACAACCACTTCAAACTAATCAATACATCGTACAAAAACACCACCACTACATTGTCAGACCATTCCACCACCATCGCGACAAACCTATCGCCGTCGCCGTCTACATCACAACCGTTTACGACCACCACCACACCAGGCCAAAGTCCACCTATACTACTGATAGGCCTTCTGCACTATCGCCAACAGTAGACACCCTAAAAACCAACAAAACCTGATTGCCTCTGCCAATGCCACCACCACATGACCCGTCGCCTCCAGTGCCACCACCACCGTCAATACCTCGCTATAACAGCCTGTTGTACTACCACCTCACCCTAACCATTACCATCACCCTAAAAACACCAAAACATGACAACCACTACCACCCATCCATCAATTTTTTTAAAAAACACCACCAACGCAATTTGTGCCGCTGCAGTTGCGATTTGTGCCATCACCATCGCGATCTAAGTTGCTACAACAACGATCTGCGGAGGCTCTGGTGGCGTTGGTGAGAACTGTGTGTGAGAGAGTAGGGCGCAGGGATGTGGCACGCAAAACAAGTTGGTTTTTCTTTTATAGGTAAATATAAATTATATTGATAAAAAATCATGTAAAAATAAAAACAAAATCAAATGACTACTATAATTACTCCGAATTTATCCGAGTCACAAAAGATACAAATTAAATCAAAACATTGAAATACAAAGAAACGCAACTTTGTATTGTGTATTTTCATTCCTCTACAGTGCTATCTACGCGTGGTCATCTAAAAAATTCTCCTATTTCTCGCCAGTAGACGACTGTCGCCAAAGTTGGTGTGTTTTTCTTTCACAATCCTCGGATCTATTTAATCCAATAATCCTGGATTCATATAGATACATTTGTCTATACACACACACACAAGGAGTAGGATTGGGTACGATGGCGGGTGAAAGCCAATACAAGAGAGAATATATTGGGTCCAAAAAAAAAATCAACTTCGCAGAAATATTCTCGTTCCATGTCGATCGCAGGCGAGTTGCTTATTTCTACTTGAAATTCCGTGACTGTTTTATCTGGGTTTCTCTGGTTCTTGTAGAAAAAAGAAATTTTAATACATTCTTTCTTATTGTGTATTTTGATGGGTGTGGTGATTTCTATGTTGTTCATAATTTTTTGATGGACTTGATAGAGAGGAGTGCATGGCAGATGAATGTGGTTGTAATGAGCTTATCTATTATCACAAGCATGGATTTTTAACAAGCTTCACTTTGTAGGGTATCAGTTAATTCAAATTTAAACCCATTTAACAAAGTTTTTCTGCAAGAAAGTAATAAATATAGAGAACTAAGGAGAAGCTAAGCACTAAAGATTGGTATTTCGAATTTGTTGTTGTTCCAAAGCGGGTAGAAGGTGAAGTTACTGACGTATCTTGGTAGGGGGGATCTCAAATACTGAACTACCGAAAGTATTTTCGAACTTGGTAGGGATAATTTGTAAAACTAGTTCAGTTATGTAAAGCCCTGTATTCTGTCTTTAATTGGAGTTTGACATGCAAGCTTGTTGTGCCAGAGACTGCAAATATTGAGGAGGGTTAGAAAGATGGTGTCTTGTTTAAATAGTTAAGCCATGAGGGCAGAGACGAGAAGCAAATAGGTTTAATGGGCTTGAAATCCTTCCCAAGTGAATAAACTGAAAAGTTTGATGCGATATCCTTGTCTAATTTTTGTGGTTAAAAGAAGGTAGTTATTCTTTCTTTTCATGGAGCTGGATTTGCTTGCCTAGGCTCCGTGTTTTCATTTATAAAGGCTTTACCAATTTGCATCCTAAAACTTGGCTCTGATGTGCATTCATGAACCATGGACTACGTTCTTGCTTGTGAGTTTTTGATTCTTCCCTGAATTTGAAGAATAAAAAGTCACAAAGTTAATGACTGGTGCGCCATGATTGTTAAATTGCAAGTGAATTCACATAGTGAATTGATAATGAATACTTCTCACTTTAAAGTTAGCAAAGCATGCGTGACTGCAGCCTTCAAAATTTTTCTTTGGTAGATATCAAAAATTCTCAAGTGTTCACTCTAGTTGTCTTGTTGGAACATATGATGGAGTAGTGGGTACTCGAGGGTACGAGGGACTTATGAAACAAGAAGAATGCTCTCTCTCAAAAAATACCGGAGAAGTCAAAAACTAATTTCCTATTCCAGTTATGATTTTGTTAAATAATCATTTCAAAGATCAATCCAAAGGTGAATAAATTCTCTTAACTTCATCATTAATTGTGTGACTATTACTTTACCAGTGCTATAGACCATCTCTATAAAGGTCCAAAATTGCAAAACAACCCCAGTAGGGAGATTAATGCTTATCTTCTTTTTTCCATTATTGTTTCCATTCTCCATTTCAAATGACTGCATGTGTGTGTGAGAGAGAGAGGGAGAATGCTGTTGGTGTTTAGATATATTATTCATTATGTTCTTAGATAGTTGTTGCTTCTCATATGTAGTCAAAATGGAGAATTCCTGCAAAAGTACCTAGAGTGTGTTTGGTAAGGATTTTTGGGGGAAGAATTGATTTTTGAATAGTGATATGATGGGAAATGTGTGGTAGAAAAAGAAGAAAAAAGTATTGATTGATGAGAAATGTGTGGTTGAAAAAGAAGAAAAAAGTATTGATGTGATGAAAAATATAATTTTATTGAAGAATGTATGGTTGAAAATGAGAATTGATTTACTGTAGAAAATGAGAATCTGTACCAAACAGGCCCCTAGTTTCCTCTTCACATATTTTGGGAAAATAGCTTTATTTTTCTCTAATCTAATATCATTCTTCCTTGGCAAGACCGAGAAATAATAAATTTGACTTCTAGAAGCTTGGAAACTTTTTTTTTGGTAGATATGATTGTCTTAAGGGAACAAAATAATGATGAATGAAGTTAGCATTTAGCAGGTTCAACAGGGAATACTTAAGAGATGAAATTGAGTTTCTACTATACAACCAACACCCCAACTCGCTAAACAAAACACCAAAACAGGTGGTGTAAATGGGTAAAGTTGATGCAAATCTTCATAGAAATTCTGCAATGCTGTCATATAGTTGGTTCGGGTTTTTCACCAAGGGTCTTCTGGGGGAACATTAACATTCTATGCAAATGGCCCCAAAAGAAAATGTCATAGTGCATCCCTGCTGCAATCTAATTTTAGAAAAAGAAAATGTGTTCAGATTTTACTTCTAATAAATGAGTCTTATTTATGTTCCCTTCAGTTGTAAAATTATTTACTTTTGCAGGACTCCATGCAAAGCATCAGCAAGAGCTAGAAAATTTGACGCTGACGATCCAACCTACAAAAACGTTAAAGCTGTTCACTCTAGCTGTCATGCAATATGTCAGGCGATCAATATCATACCTTTTGTCACACAGTGGCAGGCTTATGCTTTTGAGTTCCATTGTTATTTTAGCTGGGGTACTTCTTGTGACTATTGATGGTCCTCGTGAGAAGGTAATTGAAATTATATATTTGTTCAGTTTTTTAGCTTGGCCAAGTAAGCAAATGGAAATATATTGATATCATTGGGTTGGAATTATAAATTCATATTACTTTTTAGGATGACCCCTGTTATATCAGTTTGTTGGTTGATTTTGTCTATTTATTAAAATTCAAGGCTCCATATTTCTATTTCAGGAGAGGAAAATATTTTATATTGGTTGTCTATTCTGATTCCAATTTCTTGCTTTATTTTGTGATGACGTATTTGTTGCATCTTAGATTATTGTTCATAATGGCTACACGTCATTCTTATGTTTGTGCAGCATGTTGATGAAGTTCTACATTGTATACAGTTTGGATTCTGGTGGGTGGCTCTTGGTGCTGCATCTTCCATTGGTCTCGGTTAGTGAATCAATTATAGATAAACATTTTCCTAGAAATTCCTCGTTATAACGATAGATTACTATTAGGCAAAATTTCTTCATAGATGATAAAATCTTCTTGCTGGAAATTGTTACGAGTGATTTTAAATTATTTTCTGCTGAAGATGCATCAAAATATCTAAATTGTTTTGCAAGTATAAGAATTATACTTCTATACGTTGAAAGGCCTTTACCGATTTTTTTTTTTGAAATTATTTTGGTGTTTCACTATCGGGATCTGGGCTGCACACATTTGTGCTTTATCTGGGACCCCATATTGCGTTATTCACTATGAAAGCAATTCAATGTGGCCGAGTTGACATCAAAAGTGCTCCATATGATACCATACAATTAAAAAGAGGCCCTTCATGGCTTGGCAAGGACTGTTCAGAGTTTGGGCCACCGTTGTCGTCGCATGGTACACAGATTCCACTCAGCAGCATATTGCGCCAGGTCCAATTAGAGGCAATTCTTTGGGACCTTGGGACTGCACTTGGCGAACTTCCCCCATACTTTATTTCGAGGGCAGGTATAATTTGTTATGTTCTATGTTGCACCGACACTTTAAATAGAGCGGCGTGTCTGTGTTTGACACGTGTCGTGTCGTGTCAAATTAACACTTCTTGGACACTCTACTATAGTCATTTTTCTTTCTTTGGCAGCATTAATATATGGTTTGACTTAAAGTTATCATAATATTGCAAATAGGTAAGGTTTCAACAAGAAAAGCTAATAATAAAAGTTATAATGCAAATGAAGAATTATAAAGAATTTAATCAATGTGTCGGTGACATATCAATACTTTTTTGGAAAATCACATCACATATCAGAAACACTTGTCCGTGTTAGTGCATCATAGGTTAGGTTTTCATAGTTCTTTATCTTTGGCAAAGTTCTTTTGAAGTATGGATATTTAGATGGAAAATGTATTTGTTATTATTGAGGATAGACTCTTCTTAGGATATGTAAACATATGAATACAAGAAATTGAGTTACCACTGCCAGAGATAGAGGGTAGGCAGGGGCCACAGTCACTCATGAAATCTTCTCACACCCTTTGTTGTACTTGTCATACAGTGAAATCTTTGGCTTCCTTTTAAGCTATAGGTCATATTCTACACTAAATAGGACTTTAATAATAATTAGCTTCAATATAGTAATAAAAAGGTATTAAATGTTGATGTATAACATACCTAATACCTTTATACCTGCTGCCTGCCTGCATCTGAACACTAAATTGATTGTGCGATCTTATATGAACTGAATGCATTGTAAATTTTTTTTTGAACAGGTTAGCATCTCGTTATTTGTTTTAATGACAAGATATATCTTGACAGCTTAAGGTCCTTAAAAACATCTTGTTCTTTCTACAGCAAAGATTTCCGGTGGTAAAGTGAATGCCATCGAAGAAATTGATGCTTCCCCTACCAAAGATAATGGATTCATGCGTGCCCGTCTTGTTCAAATTAAGCATTGGTTCCTGTCTCATGCCCAATACTTGAATTTCTTCACGATCCTCGTTCTTGCTTCGGTTAGTTCAATATTTTACACCCAATTTTTGGTTGTGACTCGTTGCATTTAGCTCACAATTGTACATAATATTATTTCGTTTGTGATATTTTCAACTTTTATAAACTTGTATTATTTTTCCTGGAATTTTCTTCTCGGGTCGCACTGTTTACTAGAAATAAAGGGTTAAAGTAGAAGAGTTCCTTTTTTGGAATATAATTTTTTACTGATTATGTTGTTGATTGAAAAATATTTCTAGGTGCCAAATCCTTTGTTTGATCTAGCAGGAATAATGTGTGGACAATTTGGGATTCCTTTTTGGGAGTTTTTTCTAGCAACGGTGATTGGGAAAGCACTCATCAAATCTCATATACAGGTTTTTAGATGTCATGGATTGTCTTCGTTGGTTTTCCTTTTAAGATAAATATGCGCTTTTGTCTATGATGACTTGAACGGGAGACATTTGACTTACGAAGATATATATTTATTAGATTTTAATTTTTCTTCTGCAGACGGTTTTTATTATTTCCATGTGCAACAATCAACTTCTTGACTGGATAGAAAATGAACTAATTCGGATGCTTAGTTTCCTACCTGGTTTTGATTCTATCCTACCCAACCTCGTAGCAAAACTTCATATAATGAAGGACAAGTATTTGGCCACAAAACCTCATGTTCCATTGAATGTTGAGGTACACCCGTCTTTATTTTCCCCCGATAGATTATTGTTTTACTTTCTCCCTTACAATTTACGTATTCTTATCAGGTGACGAAATGGGATTTCTCGATCTCCTTCATATGGAATACGGTAGTGTGGTTCATGCTAATAGACTTTTTTTTTCAGATAGTGAATGCAACTGCACAAAGGTATCTTAAAAAACAGCAAGAGGACATAGCTTTTTTGATGAACAAGTCATCAAAACATTCCGATGACACTGATATTTCATCTAGATGAAATTTGAAATTCAATTTTCCTATTTTTTCTTAAGATTAGAAGTAGAGTTTAGATTTTTGAGTGACAATTATTAGTCACCATTGAAGCCCCTGGTAGTTTATGCATCTGTGCAAGTCCCCATTTGATACTTCAGGAAAAAGCAGAGATAGCATGATCATTTGTTCTGTGTAATCTGAGGGAGACAGATTTATTTAAGGGGAAATCATAAGCCATTGTCAACAGTTTGAGGTCTCAATTTTAAACTTTCTAATGTTCTTTGACACAGCAAGCCAATTATTCTGCTTCTTGTGGATGATGTTATTTACTTGAAAATATATTTGATTTGCGCATATAATTAAACTAAATTTGAAATGAAGATGGTAAACTTCATCTTCACTTCACAATTTCTTCTCCTATAATCTTGTAGACACCTTTTAGATTGGACCTATATTTGTCTCTCTGTGTGTATATAACTTATATATTGTTGGTAATTGGTTTAGAAACATGTTGGTCTTGGCCAATTATTTAAGTGAGTCTTGCTAGTCGAATAAGCTAGTTCAAAAGTTGAATGTGTTTTACACGATATAGTTATCGTAGTATACTTAGTTGTTCGAAACGTGAGTGAAGAGAATTTAATGTGAGCTGCATAAACTTGGAATATGGTTGAAAATTAGAGCTAAATAAAAATAGAATAGCGACCTTCCCTAAGATGAAAAATCCACCTGAAATCACTTTATAATTTATTAAATTAGTGATTTATGACTTAAATTATTTTGACATATAAATTATGTCTCTGTGACTATAATCTTGTATAATTTGTGATTAGTATATGATCGTTATCATAAATTGTATATTATCATGACCATAATCTATTTCTTTAAATTAAAGGCCACGATACTTTATCAGATGTCATGATCACCTAATTTTTGAAAAATCTCACAAATTTGTTATCTGTGAAAATGTATTTTGAAACATTTATAATTATATATGTATTTTTCCCTAGTTTTTATAGCCCTAGTTCAAGAGTTGGGATTGGCCCAAAGGCTATCGATAATCTTTGGAAGGCAAAGACCTACCCTACCACCTAGTGAATTTGGAACAAAGCTTTTGCATTGTGGTTGGACGGGCTGGGTTCAGTTGGGGTCGTGGGTTAGGCCCAATCAGAGTTTTATAGAAATAAAATAAAATAATAATTTTTCAATTTCCTTCCAATGGGTATGGGAGCAATACAAATGACATAGAATACCTTGGCTGAAAATGTATTTAAGGTAGTGATGTGATGTTTGTGGTCATTTTTGAATTTTCAAACTATAAACTTTATTTTTGAATTGGTGTAAAGAATACACCTTATTTATGAATTTTTCCCTTTTTATAGCCCTAGTTCAAGAGTTGGGATTGGCCCAAAGGCTATCGATAATCTTTGGAAGGCAATGACCTACCCTACCACCTAGTGAATTTGGAACAAAGTTTTTGCATTGTGGTTGGACGGGCTGGGTTCAGTTGGGGTCGTGGGTTAGGCCCAATCAGAGTTTTATAGAAATAAAATAAAATAATAAATTTTCAATTTCCTTCCAATGGGTATGGGAGCAATACAAATGACATAGAATACCTTGGCTGAAAATGTATTTAACACTCCCCAAAAATTTGGGTAGTGATGTGATGTTTGTGGTCAAAATTAATAGTGTAGATTTAGTCATATGAAAAAACATAAACCTTAAAGTAATTCATGATGTACATGTAGCATTGTTGTTTAATTTAGACGCAACAAGTAGTGAAATCTTCCCTAATAAATTGACTTACGAGATATGTTTGATTTAGCACATACACGTCTTTTTAAACTTTTCCTTTTTAGACTAGCTCGTTTCTTCAATTAGAGACATTTCAATAGTTGTGTTAACTTTCAATAATCATCCTTTTTAAACATAACTTTTCAACATCTCTATATGTCCCAAATTCACAATCCATCTTTTTGAACTTGTCAAATATGGAGAAACTCCCATTGTTATGTTCTATTATAGCAAATGTGTCTTTTGTACATAGATCTTTACAACATTACATCCCCACATTCTGCAAAATATCGATCCACCTCTGCACTCTAAAACTTTTGTATTTTAGTCCAAAATAGTTTCTGCATGGATTTTGAGTTCACTTCTCTTAATAAAGCAGTTCTATAAGTCATTTAGTTCGCCGTTTTCATAATTTGAAATGCTTCTATTACAAAAAGTGATCAATGTATTTTGAGAGACGTGTGCCGAAAAGAAATTTCAACTTACGGAGAAATAGTTCATCTTTTGACTCAATTGAATTTCTTCTTTCTACATTTCTTGTTCTACTTTCTGTAAATCAAAACTCTCTAAATTTCTGCTTGTGAAATTTTTTAAAATGTAATATGTTTATGGGTTAAATTCCAATATATATATATATTCACTAGTCTTGGACAAAACTGAATTTGGTGACATACAAATTATAATTTTTTCCCCTTTTTAAATCATGTTTAGTCTAAAAATAAGACATGAATATGAAAATTTTGAGTTCTCATTTACTATTAGGGATTTTTAATTATAGTCAATAATCTTTGTCAACTGTTGGTGTTCTCATAATTATGCTCAGTATATAACAATATCGTAAACTCAAATCACGAAGTACAATAAGAATGAGTTCAAGGCACTAAATTTGAGAGTGAAATGAAAAATATACGAAATTAAAATAATGGACTTTACACTAATGGACGAGATGGATTAAATTTTTAATAATAATCTTGTGGCGAAATAAACATGTCTGTGAAGACGCAATGTTACTTGCATATGAATAGAAAGTCCTATAAAACTTTCCATGCAAATGGAATTGGATTCGAGCCTTTTCTTACCGTTAAGTGGAAGGCGAAGAAGGCCAACTTCGGTACTGTCACGACCAAATCTTTGGGTGAACTGATTGCTACACAATATTTTCTAGTGACATTTAATATGAATAGTTAACGTAGATTTTCAGATCATCATGTGAAACAAAGTTTTGTGGGGAAACTTTTATCATGTGACTTGAACACCTTAGCTTTTCATCCATTAGTGTTGGTCTTCAATGGATAATTTCTTATTAAATTCTCCAACTACTATGAAATCTTTTGAAAACGATGTGATAAGATGTTAAATTTGTCAAACGATGTGATAAGATGTTAAGATGTCAAACTCAAATTTGTTTTTTTTTTTTTAGGAAAAAAATGTTATGACAAAAAAACATGAGTGAACTAATGACTCAGCTGAGTAGGTGATGAAATACGTCTTGATAATTATGATGATCAAAACAACGTTAACTCAATATTTAAGAATATAGTTATATCACTTTCCCATTATAAAAATGATTGCTATTAAAATATTCTTCCATATGTTAAATATGACAATTGTTATGAAAATTAATTAGAATACTTTAATACTAATTTGTTGTGAGAAAATAAAATATTATAACCACAATATCAAGTAAAGATCATAAGAATACAAGAATAATGTAATTTTGCAGAGAATTGGAATTTTATTATAATATGAAAAAGAATACAAAGATTATGTGTTTTTGATTTGTCTAATATCTTCTAACTCGTCACTAAATCATAATGAATAGCCAATATATAGGGAACGTCTAAATCCTTATAGTAAAGTTGTAGTTCAAGTAAAATGCAAAATTGAGTCTAAAAAGGAGTAGGGGAAGAAAAATACGCTAAACAGCGTTGCCCGGTGCCGAGCACCGAGCGTCGGCTCTCTCTCCCACTTTTACGTGGATGGCACCTAGACATCGCGTCCTCGCACCTAGGCACCCGTCTCCATTCAAATTGTCTTCCAAAGAATTTTTTTTCCTTCATTCCAATGTCTTCTTCAAGTCAAACACAAAATTCTAGTTCCAGTGAGTTTTTAAGTAGAAATTCAATTAAAATTCGTCAAGTAAACTTGAATAGGATTCAACAATAGCATTCCAAATAGAATTCTTATTAATGTGTATTTTAATTAGAACTCCCAATTATTTTCAACAAAGAATTCATGTAACACCCTAATTCAAATAATCTCCACATTGACACACTACAATGAATAAAAGTTCAAAAAAATTCTCTACCAGAAAATTTCTCCATCAATAATTCCAACAGTAAATAATCTCCACCTCTGCTACCCTATCTAAGGAAAAAAGTGATCCAATGACCACTAAACAAGGCTGAAACAAGTCATATAACAGAATCACAATTGAATCCATCAAAAAAAGGATTTTGGTTAGAACCAACAGCCTTATCCGCATTCAAATCATCAACAAAATCCGCAGAATCGTACAAATGTGGAATCTTATGGCAAAATTTGTGTATATTTCTAGCAATTGAATACGTTGACACAATCGATTATGGTGGCAAGACGGATTTACTCACATCTTCAAAATTTAATTGTTATGAATTCCTAAAAGAAGATCTCAAATTAGACTAACGAAGTTCTTAAAATATGTTGATTACTCGAAGATTTCATATCACCCTGCAAGATTTATAAATGAGATTTCTATGTCCCATCAACACAATACAGGGTTCCTTTGATAACATTCAGAACTCTACCTTCAACATTGTATATGTACCATTTTGAATCAATAATACTTAAAGAGATAAGATTTCTCTTTAAATCTTGAACGTGTCTCACTGCATCAAGTGTTCTAACCGTCACATCAAACATCTTTATTCTGACCTGACCAATACCAGCTATCCGTCAAGGTATGTTATTACCGATCATCACAACACCTTTTGAAACTTTTTCATATGTCAATTTTTGATTTGGTGACATATGAAAAGTGCAAGCTGTATTCAAAATCCAAGCCTCATTAGGTTTGGAGTTGTAGTTGAACATAAGTAGAAGCTCTCCATCACTGCTATGATTTTCTACAATACTTGTTTCTCCTGAAATTTCTGATTGTTGATTTGTAGTTAATTTTGATTTATTCTGCAACTTATAACAATCGTTTATCAAGTGCCATTTTTTTTTTACAATAATTACAAAATTTGAAATTAG